AAACTTGGTGATAGAATACAAAGTTATTGTGCCTAGGGATTCAAACTTTACAACAATTACTATTTTGTCTTGTAGATAACTGATGAACAAAGTGCAGGCTTTTTTATGGACAGTGGTTACTTTTAACCAACAAAACACAAGGTGCTTTTTAACCAAAAAAATGAAAAGTTTAGTACGTTTAACACAACAATTATTATTCAGAACTGAATAAAAAAMTCCAACAAGGATTTGAATGACAGTTACTGTAAAATATTCTTAATGATTATTAATAAGTATTGCTAATAATTTTTAGCCATTTCCTTTTTTACTGCATTAACAATTACAGACCCATCCCCTTTATTGATCCCCATACCCTCCAGGATGCTAAAGCCCAAACTTGGGTGGCATAAGCTTGCCAACAATGGCCCATCTACCTCTACAAATTGAGGAATAAATGATGCGAGCTTATTAGCCTCTAGGAATTCAATACAATCTTTACAAGTGTAAGAAATAAGGCTTTTTCTCTCATTGACTTCCTGAGGTTGATAAAACCATGAATCTTGAGGTGATGTGACCTTTGGTGTTGAGCACATTTGTGGACGTGGACTGAACATCATTGGACTCTGCATATCTAGACATGTGGATAAAATAAAAGAGATCTGCAGTTTATATTTAAAAATTAAAACTAAAGTGCACAAAATAATGAAAATAGGTTCCAAATTAAACTGATTCCTTTAGATTTTATTGTCTAATAACAACTGTAATTTAGTTATAATTTTGTGCCAATCCAAAAGGTGATAAAGAAAATATTTCTCGCCCTGTCAGGGAGCTTATTTGTTATCTTGTGGTTTAAATCAATTACTACACTGTCTCTGATTGGCTAAACTGAATGAAAATATCCTTGAAATGTTTCTGTCTGCCTACCGATTTTGGATTGGCACCATAATATAATTAACATTTTTGGCCCACTCACTCTGCCTTGCTGGTTAGCCAGAATTGCTAGAAGTGAAGTTTGAAACACTTCAGTGTTTCTTTGACTTTGTATGAGCATTGTCTYGAGCAGGTCATCACWACTTGCACTGCTGGTGTCTGGGCTTTGTGRTTTTTTTCCCCTTCCTTGTTTTGGTGGAACTCCAACCAAATCAATCAAATTTTCCCATTTAGGTTCATCTGCAACTCCTACAGACTTCCCTTCCATAATGTGGTCTGTCCAGACCTTAAGATGTCTTGTACTGTATCTGGTCA